ACGGTCGTCTCCTCTGCTGATGGGCACCCACGACCTTCTCCGTCATTACGACCATGTTGCCGGAACAAAGGGTTGACAACCATCTGTTCGTAAGCTTCTACCTGATCTATTATTTGATGAGTCTTCCAATTGTTACCGTTGATTTATGTCGAAGTTTGAACTCGTGAAGCAGTCGAAAGCCATTATGAACTAGGTTTAGGAAAAAACATTATATTAAGGTTTATCATTACACCTTAGCTTTTCCATATGAACTTATAGTACACGACTTTGCTCATGCTTTGCGTTTGTTTGTTTGTTTGTTTTTCTACCGAAGATTATTCTGTTGTAGTACCCTCGGCATATACGATAGAAGAAGTTGTTCTCTAGACTTCACAATATAAACTTTTCCTGGATTTTTTTGAGAAATCCCTTTTCTAGTCTTCGGAGTTTTGTCATGCTCTCGTTCTTCATTGTGGTGATGGATCTATAGCTCGTAAAGCAAGTGACATATTCTGCCATTAAGCAACCATTAACATAGCAGTTAGTCTATGCAGAGTTCCAAATCTGTTGATTCCGTGGCCCGAACGCGCTGGAGAGTTTGCGGAACGAAAGGAAAAATGTCCCCTTCCTACCGATATCATTATACTTCTTTGAGCACCTTTAGTGGTCTACAACTTATGGGTTACGCTCTCACAGTTATCTGCATCAGTAATGAGTCGGTTGTTTTACGAAAACAATTCATATATGTGCTATGATGATTTGGCTTTCCGGGAAGAGGTCAAAGCTCCTTAAAGGAGGATATTCATAATGGATGTCATCTTCTCTTCGTTAAACGCTCATGTTGAATACTCTCCATGATTTGTGGTATTTATCAATCCTGTGATGGAAGCCCGTGAGTTGGAGTCCTGAGCATCGTAGCCGTCTAATTTCATTCTAAACGTTTCAGACCGAGTTTCATGATTTGCCAACGTCTTTCTCGTGTGTCCTCCTTGATCTTTCAGTCATCGAAAGTTTTATGATATTAAGCGTAATTCTGATTTCTTGAGGATTCCACCAGGCATGGATTGTCGACTGTCTTGCTGCTGTATGCTAGCGTGTCGCTCGAACTGCGTATTGTTGTTGAACAGCTCAATGTTGTTAAGTAATATTTCTTTGGATTCTTGTTTAAGGTGATTCAATGAAGATATCTAATCTCTTTTTGATTTTCTACACCGTCCGATCTGCTGTATTTATTTGTTTGTGAAGTAACGTTGTAGGTAATATCCAACTGAATTAGCTTGTCCTTCCACAGTGCACGGAAGACATTGACCGCTAGTTCATAGGACAACTAACAGTAAACTTCTTGCAGTCTTAGCACGGAAAGACACCGCTTGCCTCACTACAGGGTGCTAGCTCTGAGTGTTGGCCGGCATTTCGCGCTGATATCCCCCACCCTGCATGCAGCTGAGCCTAACATTGCACTTCTGTTATGCAAACGGGCTTTAATCAATTATGGCTAACCGTTGCCTATCTGGCTCTGTTCTCTTGCCAGCCATTTAGTTCATTATTTCGTTCCCATCCACTGGCTTTGCTTCCCGAATCGCTGAAACTTCCCTTGTTAGATCCTTTTTATCTAATTAAATGTCTCGTGATTCCTTATCAGTTCTCTCTTGAAATCTAATTCTCTTGGCTGCTTCTCATTGTTCCTTTCAGAGTTCGTATCGTCATTTATTAACTATATTTCATGCAAAAGAATTGCCAATTATACAAGTTCGCGGTGAAAATACAATAAGAAAAAAAAGTGGAAACTCGTCCTCGATTATGAATCAACGATATCCCAATTGCGGATGACAAATTTCGGGTCATCTTTTTGGGTCAAGTCGTTTTTCTAGTAATCGACGTTTTCGATTTCTTGACAATCGGATGTTTCTACGCATGTAGTAATCAGCCTTCAAATTTCTTTCACCTGAAACCACCATTTGTTGTTCTGACAGTCCTCAATCCCTCCGTAAGAAAAAAAAATTCAAGTCGAGTTTTATATTCGTTTTTCAAAAGAATGAACGAAGCCCGCCTTCGTTTCGGTGTTTTCAGCGCTGAGACTGGGCGGAGTGACTTTTGATATCAGAGCCAACAACGAAGACGCCCCTTTTCGTTTGAAATAACGTCAAGCACTGAGTCTAAGCCAAAGACATCGTGCCATTGAAGTGTGACCGACAGATAATCCATCTACGTCTGGACTCTGTCAGGCGACTCCATAGGAGTCATGCTGTGCGAGAATAATGGTTGCGCTCAACTTTAAATCAACATAATGAATTCCACTATTTACAGTGGATAAAAAAGGAGAAGGTTCTCAGCGTTGATCAATCCCTGAGGGATGCACCATGCATTCGACTTCATTAAGAATCGTAAGAGGTGATATCTGCTCTTTTACAATAACTTGCTGTGGCCTACTGATGTATCGAGCCAGTGCTGCTATCCTCCTAAGCAAGACTGGTGCCAAATTTTCACCCGGAGGGTTGTAGAACTTGGTGAGCCTCCGGCGCGAGGATCGCTCCCATGTGTGTTGCAGGGCGCCTTCAACCACTGCGTTACACGCGTCCTATACTGTTTACAATGCCCAAATCTTTGCTTCCGAGATTGTCACTCAGTTTCTGAACCTCTGATATAGGCATTTCTCCCATTCTATTGCTTCAAAGCACATCTCTGGAATGCGAAAGCGAGTAAACAAGCGGGATCTCGTCAAGCAGGACAAGATGGAGTTCTCTAATGTTGTTTATGTTTGCAGCTGCCACATTTCGGAATTTAGGAAATCCTAATTTCGCGTTTTTTGAAAACTTGAGTACTAAACATATTTTCTTTTGAAAATACCGAAAAAATGATACGTGAGATTAATGCAACGAAGCAAAGTCTCTTGTATCAATCTTTACAGTTCTGAACTCATGAAATACTCCAGTGGTCGAGAAACTATGGCCAGTTAATTGACTTGAGTTGACGGGTAAATGCTGAAAGACCCTGTAAAACACTGCTGAGAGAAAGGCGAAACGAACGACACGCATGGTGTTGTGGTGAACACGCTAACCCCTGGAAAGGGTATTAGCGAGGTTCGATCCCCGACGCAGACATTTGCGATCCGGAGTTTTGCGAACATCTCAGCATCATTGTAGTTGTATTTCACATGAATAGGCACTAAATAAAAAGTGGTTAGTATCACCAGTTATCGAAAAACTAGCTTCGTCGTGGGAGTGTTAAACAGAACGTTGCGATGCCCCATAGAAAATCTTTAATGATGAAGTGTGAGAAGCTTTGCGCAGGACGTGGACATTGACGACCATCGATGTTTCCAATCGGCGACTCGAAACACCGACGGCAACCTCCGTCGATCCGATCGATAACCAGCGGAAACGTGCGTGAATCGGGTCAGAGGCGATCTTCTACCAGTACCAGGGAGTGAGTACGACTGGGCGATCTGATGTTCCTCACCATCCGCAGATTTGCCCAGGAATGAACTCCTCACCTTCCTAGCACACTTCGCATCATCACATGATGGTATTGGCGCACAACACACAGTGGATTCTACGTAATTTTGCACCCACGCTCGCCAGTTTGTGTTCGCTTTTTGTTTTGGTTTCGCATGAGTCGTATTTTTCTTGGTTTATCCAGAAGATGATTTTCTTGCGTTATCGTTGTTTCCCGTTGGTGATGTTAGACGATTTGCCGTTTTCTTTCAACTCATTCTTGATGGAGCTGATTTTTCAGTAACTAACGGAAATTTCGCGATCGCTGGAATATTCTATGAGTTCGAAACTTCATAGACTTACAGGAAATACTTTGCTAAATAGCAATGACATATATAAACTTTATACAGCGAGCCATCAAACTTGAATACGCGAGGGATTTTCAAAAAGTGGGCAAGAAGGTCTAGGTTTTTAGAACTATCAAGGGAAGAGCGCCGAACTCATTGGGAACACTATCTGGTGCTGAACGAAACTCCAGGTTGGATTACCTTCATATCCAGAATAAGCTTTGAAGCAGTGAAAAGAATTTATGTCACAGGCTCATGAAAATCAGAATTTCATTGCACTAAATCACGAAGACGTTTATCCCATTGGCAAGGATTTGTAGATTCGAGCAGTTTTTACTGTAATCAATAGAATTCACTGTGAGCTGAGAGATGTTAGTTTAAAATTAGAAGCGGCCAATACTTTTGCATCATCGTATGGCTTCCTTAGAGGTGACGTCGTGGCGAATATGTCAAAGCTTTGAACGACATTCTTCGCAATTCGCACTGGCAGTCGGACTCTGCTTGGTTTTTTGGGAGATGAAGTGTCTCTGCTTCTCGGGCTCTCTGGGAGCAGCAGTTCACCAGCGCGACAGGTGTTCGTGCAGTCAAGCAGCCGGAGTGTCCTGCCACTTGTATGAGCAGAACAGTTTACAGGTGTTCGATATGGTCTCTGGTTCTCTGCTGGCTCGATTGTACCTTCGGCTTGAAGCCGACAGAAGTTGTCGATGTTCCTGAAGGAATGCATTGACGTTCCTGAAGGAATGGATTGCCGTTCTCGAAGAAATGGATTGAAGTTGTGTGGTAGATCTTCAGTGAAAACTACATCGGTGTTGTTTCAAGAGGAACCTACTTTAGGTACACGAAGTCTTCTTGGATCATGAAAGGCAGACCTCAGGTATGATCCACGAAGGCTGTATTTTCTCGTCCACTGTTCGATCTTACTTTGAAATTTGAAAGATCTTATGAGTTTTCGTCCATTCTAGTAGCACTCGCTGCCAGTATCTGTGTTCCCTTCACTCTGCTTCATTCCTCTTGAAACTCGAAATTTGAGCGACGTACTTCACCAACCGTCCGGATCCGTTTTTAACCTGACAACAGGCGTCATTTGTTCTCGTCTCATAGCACTTCCGACTCTTTCTTTCCCTTCTAAATAGCTAAGTCTTGCAGCGTTATGACACTTTAACTGTTAGAATGTGTGGCCTAGCGCTCTAGTGTAATCATCTCTAATGAAAACATTTTCAGCTCATTTTTGGGCCGCTCGATGAACCGCCTTCGTCGATCAATTCGTCAGTCGTTTCGCAGGGGACGAAGACACAGTCCTGAGAGCAGTACGCCTTCTGAGCTGGTGAACTCAAGTGGAAATGGAGGACATAAGCAAGAGCAATGGCAACCGGATGAAGCAGCCGTACGAGCTGGCCTATGTCATTTCAATGTTAAGGTCTGTAGTTTACAATTAATTTTTATGTTGTTTTGAGCAGTTATGGTTCCTTTCCTTTATTTTTTCTTTACCTTCCATTTTTTTCTTCTTTCTCTCCGTATGGCTCCTTTTTTTGGTTCTTAGTTAATGCTGTTGCATTCAAAGTTCCTAGTTAATTTTTATGTTCTCTTTCCATCCAGTACCTCGGTGCCATAGAGGTATACGAGTCTCGTGGTATGCAGGTGTGCGAGGGAGCCCTGAAAATGTTAAGGGTACGTCCATTCCATTCACGTAGTTTACGTTCTTCTTAGAAGTATAGTATTATAGTATTTTCAAATAGTATTTTTTGTGTTTTGCACTTGAAGAATAGAAAATTCTTTGGATTAGAAATAATATGGCGTCACCAAGTTTTTTATTGCTAATTTTTCGTAGAGTAATAGACGGCGATCGATCAAAGCAGTTTTGTATGTGTCTGGAGATGGATTACGAGTGGTTGATCAGGAGAACAACAGAGGATTGATTGTGGATCAGACAATAGAGAAAGTTCGTTTCATTTTCCACTTTTCTTTTCCTAGCTTTCGCTTGACTAGCATTTCAGTTGATCATTTTTATAAGTAAATACTTCCCATCCAATTCCGATTGCCGTGAAATGCGTTGCTTGGCCATTTTAAGTCCTGATTTTTAAAACAAATCCTGTGCGCATCTGGGTAAAACATGATGAAAGGATAAAGCTTTCGGCGTTGATCAATCCATGAGAGATGCGCCATGTATTTGGCTTCATTAGGCATCGCTGAAGGCGACTGAATGCATGTCTGGCCGTTAGAGTAACTCGCGCTGGCCTACCGATGTATCGAGTCAGTGCTGCTACCCATACAGACAAGTCTAGTCATCTGGATAGTTTCCGTAAAGTATTAATTTTGAAGGCTTCGACATAATTCCGTAGTATTGTATTCACCAGGATCTGGGTGAGCTCGTACCATTGATTCATTTAGCTCCTGTTTTTCTGAGTCGTCTGAGCCTCATCGTAACATTCTGATTTCATATTTTCTGAAGCACTCGCTTTTCTTTTTGTATCCTACTTAACTGAGGAACTACTTTAGAGAATCATTGTGAGCAGTCGTGGTTTCCTCGAGGTTTCTATTTCACGGCTCCCAAACAGACGAACTTGTTATGAACATTTACGTTGAAAATTTGAGCACTCTGGTGAAGCTGTAATAGAAATGGTCTATTTTGTTGACTGAAATAGGTGTTGAATTTTGTTGGAACCAATCAATAAAACTGATGTCTGTGTTCAGGTCTCTTTTTGCGCTCCGGATCGCAACAATGATAAAGGCTTTGCTTACATTTGTAGAGACGGAACATCCAGACGATGGATGTGCCATGGTTTCCATGCAACAAAGGAATCGGTTCGTAGGCACTTAGTTTCTCAATTCGTAACACTTTCTCATGGAATCACGCCAATTTTTGAAGGGAGAACGCCTTTCTCATGCCGTTGGATGCGCGTTCTCAATCTGTTTGGAGAGGAAAAAGAAACGAGACGAAGAAAATATGCAGAGTTTGGAAAAAGCGTTGAATCCAAAATGGGAAGAGAAAGAAGCGTGAGTTCATTGCTTCATTGTTCTGTTTTATTTGCTAACCTGATATACTTTACTTCTATTCGTCATTCGTCAGACATATTCTTTTTGAATCGATTAAGGTAATGACAAACTAAACATTTTTATAAACTCAAGGCCTATTAACCACAATGGTGCTATGATATTCGCAAAGTTTGGAAGCCAGGCCAGATCGAACTGCGATTACTTTCCGAAGGCTCGCGCTTACACATTACACCACTGAGGTTCTTCCCATGCGTTTCTCGAAGCTAGTTTTCTACCCAACGCTTCCATCAGCAATTACCCGTCAGCGGGATTGATCTGGAGAGCATAAATCAGCATTGAATCCAGTTAAGCTGAAGCTGTAGTCTAGACCCGTTGTATTCTTACCATCTATTAAGGCTAACTCTGCTATGCTTTCTAGCATATTTTTTGAATAATTTTCTTTTTAGTGATTCGACTAGTGCACTCCAACGGACAAATCAAGCCTATCAGTCTTTCCGAAAACAAATACCTATTAGTGAAAGATTACAGGTCGCCATTAAATTCTTTATATTAAAAGGGAGTCATTATCCATTATCCAGTTTCAGGATCCACAGTTAGCAATCATTACTAATGCTCCACTGTCGTCAACCTATCAGCCTGCACCCAGTATAGCAAAACCTCGTCCTTCTCCGAACCCAGCTTTATTCCAGAGACAGGTGTTTTTTTTATGCTTGAGTTTTATACGAACCGGTGTTATTAAATAGAACTTACTCATGTTGATCTTCAAGCACAATCATCTTAAGTACTGGCGTTTATCAATTTGATAAATATTGTTTTGTTATAGGGTTCCCTTCGAGCGCCCGACATGTCGTCTGCGACACAATTTCGACGAAAGTACTCGTTACGAACGAGTTGTCAGAGCGTCGGCAATTATCCTTTTAGATCGGTAGCTTTTGCAACATTTGAATTACAAAAAATGACTTTTAAAATCCATTTGCTGTCCGCATCTGTGTCCCCGTGAACTAACAGAGTTAGCAATGAATTGGACAAAGGGAAATACACACGGCGTTTGGTATCGACGGTTTACTGTTGAAAGTCTCTCCATTGTTCACATCGATCGCAAAACAAACTACGTGAGGTAAATAGAAATAAACCTGGAAAATAAAATAGTAAACGCACAACCATGGAAATAGGATGGACATTAATGAAACATATGAAAACAAGGGGCAAAAAAGTCAGAAGGGGTAGTTGTTTTCGAGGAATTTCAGATGTTTATGGTTTGGTCCCTTCTATCAGTACGTTACTTACTTTACAATGTAAAGTTTTCTGCCTGAATTTGAAGATGGAGACACCTTATTTAATGAAATATATCTTTAGAAAATTACTGGGTAATAGTTCAAGGAAAATTTGTAGATGCGAAATGGGGTGATCCATAGATGTACGAATGCGGCCATTTTCTTTTCAGTTCTACGGGGAACAGTCATTACAAAATGAGCCAATCTATGAAGGCGAAGAAGACGGTGGTCAAGCGGTGGCTGCATTTGTATCAACTGGCAATGGAAACATGGTATCCAGCCCGCATCCCATGACGTCTGCACAAATAGGTCTGCGTTTTTGTTAACGAAGTTAGCAGATTTTGTGACAATGTTATCTACGGGTGTAGGACATTAATGTTTTGAGGTTGTTTGGCAAGTTGTTAAAATTGCATTAGTTTGGCACATATATTTGGAAATATTTGGAATAGTGTAAGTGTCACTATAAGAGTTGCGAAATAACTGTACCACTAAAAAATTCATTTGATATCATCCCAGAAGCTCATAAAAAAGGATAAAGCTCTCGGCGTTGATCAATCCCTGAGGGATGCGCCATGCATTCGACTTCACTGAGCATCTTTGGAAGTGATTGAATGCATATCTGGTCTTTATAATGACTCGCGATGGGGTCTGCCGATGTATCGAGACAGTGCTGCTATCCTCCTAGACAAATCTGGTACCACCTTGGAGGGATGGAAGGCTTGGTAAGCCTTCGGAACGGGGATCGATCCCACGTGTATTACAGGGTGCCTCCGACCACTGCTCCACACACGCCCTTAATTTGAAGATAGTGGTAAATTTTTCGGTGGAAAAACCCCGGAGAGGTGGAAGGCTTGGTGGGCCATGGGCGCGGGGATTGATTATGTCTGTGCTGCAGGGCGCCTCCGACGACTGCGCTACACGCACCATTGATATCATCCTATTCATAAAAAGCCTAGTTTCGTAAACGAATATACTGAGCATACGTAGAAGAAACAAAAAGCACACTAGAGAGGAAGTTTCACTAGATGGGAAGCAAAATAACGTGGGGAAACTAGCGCGAAATAGAAATGTTATTTCACGCCTATAGATAATTCTATGATAGGGTAATATTTTATGCTCGGTTCTTAGAACTGTTTATCTGTGGATGAAATTAGCAAGTTGTATGCGTTGTTACTGTCCATATTTACAGCTTCGGGGCCAACTTCGCCAAGAGATGTCTTCAACTTGATTGGACCCAGTGTGGGTACATCGCAAGCTGCTTCCACAAAATCCGAAGAGGCCAACGTCACAAAATGTTTCGCATCTTCTCAGCAAGTTTCTCAGCTGGTGTCTACTTCATCTTCAATATCAGATAGCACACTGCAGCATACTGCCCCACTACTAAACGGATTTAGTGATCGGAGAAGAACCTCCCATATAAATATCACTACTAATTGGTCAGTGATTTTTTATGAATTCATGTATTTGTACTTGAAGTTAGTTTTTATTTTTTTTTTGTTCAATGACATTTCTCAATCGCGTGGGGCTGTTATTTTGTCTAATGTTTTGTTTGCTGTTTTCGTTTTGATTTTTAGTAATGGCTTGGCATCTTCATCCCTGTATTCATCACGATCAAAAGCCGATGAATGGCTTGAAGGTGCACTTCGTAACTCCCTCGCTTTCAGTTCACCATCTCCAGTAAGTGTGTCGATTTTTTTAATTAAAAATAAGTATTACTAATACAGACACGTCTACAAGTTAGATTTGGATTTGTTAATTTATCGATTTAATTTTGGTTTTGTTTCTGATTTCCAATTTTCATTTTTTTAGTTTTGTCCCATTTGTATTCACCATTAGTGTTGAGGTGACGATTAGTGTCCTTTAGTGGAAATATCAGAATTATTTTACTAAATTGTATCACGTTTTATCAAGATGAATTGGTATCATCCACAAGACTCTTCAGCCATTTTCTGGTTTTTTTTTTCAGAGTTCATCTGTGGGAGAGATGTCGGTCCATCCCGCTGCGGTCGTAAATGGGGTTCAGAGCGGTCAAAGTTAGTAACTTGTGTACAATTCGTAGTCATGAAACAATTACTATTTTTCGTATACCTTTCCATGTGGTGATTTCATCGTAAGTTCCTTTTTTGAGTAGGTTCAAACTATTCACTTCCCGGCACCATAGTTACTAGTGGACCACCACCAGTCCATCCTCCACCACCTCTTCCTACAAAAGAGATTGTGGTCAACAGAGTAAGTCTTCAATATGTACTTTTTCCTGCAATTTTAACGTATGAAAATCTTTTCTATTACACTTCATTCGGTATGAGTAATATTTAATTTTAAACAATTAAGTCATTGAATGTCCGATCTGGACCCGTTTTGGATGTGTTTGGTCAGTCAGTGCAATGGGACGCGCTCCCAACGGCACCCGTTTCTCATGTAGAGGATCCATTTGACATTCAGTGGAGTCGTTTGTCGATTGCTCCCTGTATTTCTTCCAATCCTATCACTGAAGGTCAGCGAGAACTTCGAGCATGATGCGATATCTTCATCAGCTATGCGATGAATATAAAGGTTCTCTGTTTTTATCTAAAAAGTAGTAAGCTACGATCTGGCTGTTTAGTCGAGAACATTGTTTCTTAGTTCATTATCAGTACATTGCTTGCAAAGGGCCTTTAGTTTTCCTGGTTCCGTGAAGGTCTTGCCAGCCATTATTATTTCCAAGATAGGGTTTTCTTTTTGATTGCGTCTTGCTTAAAATAGAAGCTCATTTGTGGTCCTTCTGAGTAGGTTGGTGTTAAGTAGATTGTACTTGTAGAGTACTAGTAATCATGCTATTTAAATGTATATAGAGAGCAAGAAGCATTGAATTTCACGAGTGGATGAGCTCATAGCTCATTTTAACTGGCTAAGTATGGAGTTTTCACCCAGTGAGCCTCCTAGTTTGGTTTTCATCCAACCATTCATTGTGAATGAATAGTTTCGGCCGTCATTGTTTTGTATAGCGAATCCAATGACTTTTTTCTGTTTTCATGTGACACCATTCTATTATGCCTTAAATATCTATCCGTATTCTTGTGTTTCCTTTGTGTTGACTCTTGAGTTGTTTACTGGTCAAACCAATATGAAATTTAGGATCGCCTCGTTAGGTAAAGTCACCTCTGTCATCGTAGTAGTTCTGTTCATCATCAGGCGATGATTATGTGGAATAAATTCATCTCTGTTAAATAATATGTATTTATCTGTTATCGCATTGATATGTGATAGTTGTTGCAATGAATTCTCCTCTCCAATAAGTTGAGTCAGTTGTTTACAGTTCTCGTTGGTATTTAGTTTATATGAAATACGAGATGTTAGTCATACCGGCCACTACGGACAGCGATGTGCGTTTGGCTAGCTGGTATGTTTTCCTTTGATAATTTTTTGCATAGTTTCATATTAACTTCTATACTCTATATTGACTGGGTTTTGTAACCGTCTTTGAAGAGGGTGATGTTATTTCGGTAGCGGATATATCAGAATTATTTCTGGTATTGGAAGGTGGTGTTACCTAAAAGAGTTTGGATGCCTGAAGAGTTGTGGTTGTTGCCTCATACAAGGAACGCTTAGGAAGTATTTTTCAAAGTAGAGAAAGAAATGTTCCTTTATCAGTTCGTAGTGCAGTTGAATTGTTACTCATACCTTTGTTAGACATAGAAAGTGGCAGGTTTTCCTGTTACAAATTGTTTGAGGTGATTATAATCTTTCATGACTCAACGTTAAAGATCGAAATCTTGAGGGTTTCTACTGCATTATTTCTTTAGACGATTTGTTGATGTTGTAGATGAAATTAGAAAGTGGCGGGGCGAGCAGAGAGGTTGAAGTTGCTTGAAGACACTCAGTAATTATGTTGTATCCAATCGTAGTTACATTTTCGATGTAAGAATTTGTACTTCTTTTTGTATTTAGAAAAAGGTTTATTTAGAAGGCTTTAGTGTTCTTATTGGACTGTACAGATTGTGCTTGGTACTTATACATAATCATTGGAGTTTCGTCAGGATGGGAATGGGAATCATGAGATTCTTCTTAAAAGAGTATGTTCGGAATAAACCTCGTGAACGTAGGTGGAACTATCTCGACATTCCGCCATGACATGGAACAGACAACGAAAAAGTTCGGAACCAGTCCGTTTCAAAATTCTCTTCTTGGATCTTGGCGTCTCCGCTGGAGAAAAACCGCTCGGAATTCTAGTTTCTGGAATTCGATTGCTACAGAAAACATGGAAAAATGCGCGGCTCCATGACCGAAAATGTTGCTTCCGACTTCTTTAGAGCTGCAACCCACAATTTACATATATTTCTCGCAACCTTCATGACATCTTGTTTTCAGGGAGAGAAAATCGTAGACCAAGTGGAGCGCTCGCGCGCGGTTACCCAACCCAAGAAGGGTGACCGAGGAGATCTTCGTAGCTATCGTTCCGTATGCCATTGAGTGTTCTCTACAAGGTGTTCCCTGCAAGCTGTTTACGATGATTACTCTTTTGCGCATATTGAAGACCATAAATGAGGCACACCAAGTTAAGCAGGCAGGATTTCGACAGAGATTCTGCTGCATGTAACAACACATCAGACCGTATTGCGGGTAACAGAACTCTCTCTGGGGTACTATCTAACCCTTGTCTCAACCTTTATCGGCTACGAGAAAGCGTTTGACAGCGCCGAAACGAATTCAATCCTATCAGCACACATCGACCAAAGAGTGGACCCGTCCTGTGTATCACTCTAGCTGACTGCTAGCGGTACTGAGCACAAATATACAGCTTTTCATCGACTTTTCACCATACCTATAGAAAAGAGGTTCGAAGAGACGACACAGCATCGCCAGAGCTGTTTACTGACGCTCAGCAGTGAACAACAAGGTCGCTTGATTAGGACGAAAAGGGCATATGTATTGATGGAGAACTCCTACCAAATATTCGTTTCGCGGATGACATCGCCATCTTTTCGAGGAGTATCACTGAAGCGGAGACGATGCTCAATGAACTCAACGAAGAGAGAAAAAACATTGGACTGCGCACGAACAGGACGACGACCCAGTTTATGAAGAACGCACGGTGCGAAGGCGAACAAATCGAAATCGGTGATTCTCTGGTTACAGAATCCATCTCCTGCTTATGCCTTGGAAGTTCAATGAACATGGAGAATAGCATGAAGAAGGAATTAGGTAGAAGAATAGGAGCAATATTGGCCTCATTCGGGCTTGTGAAGGAAGCCACTAACCACTAACGGACCCAAAACTCCGCGCTCACCTTTTAGATTCGACGGTCCTCCCGGATCTGTTATGCAGCGTAGATGTGAGCTGATACTTCATCCACGTTAAGAAAGCTGCGCAATACCTTTGTTATGGTGGTACAACTAAGTACACGAACGCGTCATCAGGAGAACATAGGAACCCAATAATGCGTTCCGTTTCCTAGTGGTTTGTTTCACTCATGGAGGTATGCGAGTATCATTTCAGGGAACCACAAAGTGGTTAACGTGACTTACAAGTTCGTTTGTTTTCTATGCTGTCACTGTAGAGGTGTCCTACATCCTCTTATAATGCAGTCAAGTGTTCATTACCCCATATTTTGTCTTTATTATGTAAACAATCATTGCATGTTTCTCTTTCGATTTCTCTAAAGTTCGAAGGCGTATATTTTCTGGAGGTCTGAACTACATTGTCCGCTTTGGGTTGTGTGTGCTGGTTATATTTCAGAAGACGTCATTCAGGAGCTGTACGTATGATGTGAAAAATTCTTGACGTACCTGAAAGGTCACGCTTACGCTACGAAAAAAACGCCAGGAAAAACGTTGAGTCGATTATGTAAACTCGATGATCCAGATCTGCAACAGTTTCTTTAAGATTTCTTCTACCGTTCTCTATTGAACAGTGCTGTTTAATGAACGTCTTAAGTATCTAATGGGGCGCGTGTGACGCAGTGGTTGGAGGCGCCACTACGACACATGGAATCGATCCCCGCTCCGAAGGCTTACCAAGCCTTCCATCCCTCCAGGGTCCGCAAATTGGTACCAGACTTGTATGAGAGGATGGCAGCACTGGCTTGATGCATTGGTAGGCCACCGCGAGTCATTGTAAAGACCAGATATGCATTCAATCACCTCAAGCAATACTTAATGAAATCGAATACATGGCGCATTCCTCAGGGATTGATCAACTCCGAGAGCTTTATCCTTTATCCTTTTCTCCTTAAGTATCCAGTGTAGGATAGGCTATTCAGATTTGAAGGAATAGTAATCACAATTTTAGCTTTTTTATTTAGTGCCTATTGTTTCTTATGGCAGGGTATTTATTACATGTGAAACAGCCACAATGATGCTGATATATTTGCATAACCCAGGACGGTAGGTGTCTGCGGTGGGGAACGAACGCGCCTAACTTTTCAGGGGGCTAACGCGTTCACCACCACACCATGCGGGTCCTTCAGTGGGAATGTAATGGACAGCACGTGAGTTCCAGTAAGGGTAATCGTGGGTTCAAAGCTCGAGGTTCCGAGTTTTGTTCATATCTCAACATTGCTATGTTTGTATTTCAAATTATACCCTGCGGTAAAAAAAGAAAGCAGGAAATGAAATTGGAGAACATTACAATGATGTCTGCTTGAAATCACATTTGGTCGCACTATCCACTAGTATATGGAGTGGTACGCCAAATTTAGTGTGACGGTTGCGTGGAACGGCGCTTAATTTCTCCCCACACAGTGAACTGAGACAAATTCACATCATCCGATCTGCTCCACTAGAAGTCATATATACAGTCCACTTTAGAAACACTTTTTGAATTGCTCCTTTGTTAAAAATGATAAAAAGAAGTTAAAGTTTTCAGCGTCGATCTATCCATAAAGGGTGCGCCATGCATTCGACTTCGTTAAGCATCCGTTGGATGTGATTGAATGCGTATCTGGCCTTTACGATGACTCGCGGTGGGCTGCCGATGTATCGAGACAGTTAGTTCTGCTATCCTCCCACACAAGTCTGGTACCATTGTGCCGACTCCGGAAGGATGGAGAACTTGGCAAGCCACGGGCACGAGGATCGATCCCAAATGTGTATTACAATGCGTCTCCGACTACTGCGATACATGCGCTCCTACGTCAGAAAGGTGGATTGATTCAACCGCGGCGCAAACGCATCTTAGCAATATTTGTGTCTGTCTCTAATCTGTGATGCCTCGATATTTTTCTATGGTTACTCATTATTAACAGCCTTTGTGGCTTGATGAACGGATTTCTCCGAAAAGATACTTTATGCATATTATCAAGTGTATAGAACAGCTTTTCTGAGCCCCTTTGTACAGCAACTGTGCTGGATAAGCATTTGACCGAATACGAAAGAACACAGCAAAAATATCTACGCGACAAAATTTAAAAAAGTACTTGGTTTGAATTCACATTGGCCTGCCTTTTTCCATATATATGAGTGGAAATCAACTCATGGTGAACTTTAAGTGTTAAGTACCTTTGAGACTTTAAGGAATTATGCCATCAGATCTTCTCTGGAAAAACTCCTTTGGTTATTTACCTATTGATTATTTATTCTTGTGGATTCTTAACAACTAATTTGAAGACAAATCTCTAACTCCTATTTGCCTGCCGAAAATACTCTTGATGATCTTTTCATACACTTACCTACTTCGATGTTTGGATGGCCCGTCTTTATTGGTTGTGCGGGCCCTAGTAGAATCTCCATTTTTTCGGAGTTTCGCTGGTTTAGCTACAATATTTCCCTGGAATACCGAGGTCAACCTAGCCAAAGTCGGCCCCAGGTGGTCACCACCACAGGTAGTCGCCGCGCTTCTGGATCAGAAGGAGATTTATCATTATGGAACAAGTTTGATACCAGGACGATATGGATCCTAGTATTCGTTTGCTCTTAGCTGAGCTTCCTGATGGAAATGCCTGACTCCTTTTCAGCATGGGAAACCCTGCCGTGGGACGTATCCGCCACTTACATCGCAGCTCAACACCTAGGAACAACTGACCACGATGAGGCGGTAAACCGTTGGGAGGCTTTTTATATAATTCTTTGAAAGTTTACCTATGGTCTAATAATTTGACTTGCATTTCGTTAGAAAGAATATGCAAATTCGCGCGATTTCTTATTTTGAATCGCGCAGTAAGTTGACAGCCAGTACATACACTTTGGGATTCTAGCGAAAAAACGATTTGTTTCTTTCAATGAACCTATTACTGGACACTGCTCATTTTAGAAATATCATTTCACCATATGGGAAAGAAATCTACTGATAGTATAATGCGAACAGATGAACTACGTTGAACAACGTCGAATATCCGTCTTGGTAAACTGCAATTCGTCCGTTCTCAGTTTTGAATCTTGATGGATTCCAAAACCGATTTTGCAAAGTTTTTCCACCGAAAAATTTACCACTATCTTCAAATTAAGGGCGTGTGTGGAGCAGTGGTCGGAGGCACCCTGTAATACATGTGGGATCGATCCCCGTTCCGAAGGCTTACCAAGCCTTCCATCCCTCCAAGGTGGTACCGGACTTGTATAAGAGGACAGCAGCACTGGCTCGATGCACTCGTAGGCCACCGCGAGTCATTGCAAAGGCCAGATATGCATTCAATCACCTCCAAACGATGTTTAGTGAAGTCGAATGCATGGTGCAATCCTCAGGGATTGATCAACGCCGAGAGCTTTATCCTTTTTATCCTTTTATCTGCAAATTAAGACGGGTAATTATACCATAGGCGAAATACTGAGATTTCCTCTTTGAAAGTGTAGAACCTGGTGTTCTTTCATAGGATAGTGCTCATGCCGTTTTCAGTTCTCTATGAAAGAAATGAGTTTACAACCACAACGCTGCTGAGATATTTGCAAAATTCTGAACCGCAGGTGTCTATGGTGGGGAACGAACGCGCTATTTTCCTATTTTCCTTTCTGGGGAGTAACGCGTTCTCCACCACACCATGCGGGTCCTTCGTTTCTCCTGTCTTTCAACTAGTTCTATCGATCTTTTGCCATCAGCAATCACCCGTCAACGGGATTGATCTAGGGAGCCCACATCGGCATTAAACCCAGTTAAGCTGAGGCTGTAGTTGAAATCACTATGTTTTACCTTTTATTTTCTGCCTGCCACAATTTTCACGGCAATCCGGGTCAATCCCGTTGACGGGATTACCGGGATTACTCTCCGGAAAGGAAAATAGGAAAGTAGCGCGTTCGTTCCCCACCATAGACACCTGCGGTCCAGAGTTTTGCAAATATCTCAGCAACGTTGTGGTTGCATTTCGCTTATTACCCTGCCGTGAAAATTGTAGTAGGCAGACAAGGTAAAACGAAATGAATTTAGTTTAATAAATTTTTCAAACCAGTGTTCCATATTGCTCTGGCTGATTTTTTTGGTTTAGTCTGCCTGCTAACGCTATGTAGTGGTCAGAATCCGGACTTCAATAAGAAACTGGAAGACACTCTTATGAAGACCTATAACAGTCGTCATCGACCGGTGAAGAAGGAATCAACTACAGTGCAAGTTAGCGTCTTCATGAGCATCAGCCACGTTGAGAAAGTTGTGAGTGGCACTGTTGCATGGTCTTATTATTTCTTTGATAGGCAATCATAACGAATGTTTTATATGCCATGAGGTTTATACAGTCAAAAATAGAGGGAATTTTGTAAGAATCCCTTATAATTTGTGAAACTGCAAGTTGCGCACTTTCGAAAAATCACCTAGATCGCCACTTTTTAATTGCTTTCCTTGCGTTTTACATCACATTTTGCTATTTCGTTTTTCATGAATACCACTTTAGTAGAACTCAGTTGCAAAAATCCATGAGTGCGAACCATGTGGGTGAACATGTGTTCCACATTCCATACATTGTGGCTGACTAGCACAATGCCGTCACCAAGACGGCGATGAGCAGCATGTCAATAGTCGGTACTGGATTATCCAATACCTTGGCAATTACAATGGCTTCGTTTAAGTCGACGGTTTTCATTGGGTCGATGAATATTCTCCAATGCACATTCTAGGCTTTATTGATGGTTTTATGAGCTGCCTTATTGTGATGCAGTAAGGAGTATTGTGGTGAAACTTTTCCGAGACCAAATTTCATTTGTTCTGTATTGTATCCTATTTTATCATATTCTATCCTAAAAACTGCGTTCCCGACTTCCTATTGGGTATTCTACGTTTCTATAGATAGCCATAGATTAGGAGGCCACTAATTGTGTGCTACCAGAGGCAGTGCGTCCTTAGGATGAACAACTCTCTGGATTGAGCTTCGCCACAACTTACCCTATCAATGATGCTTCATATTAAATTTGTACAAGAGAACTTAAAGAATGTGGCAATCCCATACGAATAACTTGCAGAGAACTGAATATAGTGTTAAGGAATTTTTAAAAGAAAACAATGAAACTTCCCATTCTTACGTTGAAAAAAAGTAACAACCGTTGCAAATGCTCTCTTCTTTGTTGTTGTGGATCCTGCCAGAATTGTTCTTTCGTCTTATATTTCTTGAGGAAAGTTGTGCAAGAATAATTGTTCCTTGAAAATCGGATGGCTTGCTGTTGACGAACTAGTTTTAGGTTAGCTAAAAACATGAACGGAATCGCCTCAGCTTTTGAAAGCTTTGAAGCCTTACACAGCTTACCTTATTAGTTACGAAGTCTGAGAGTAATTTTATTATTATAGGCTTCATTTTCTTAATACTGTCTCGTGATCCCGACATTTTTTTTATGGTAATGATGACAATGATCCAATAATGTTGCACATGATCACTAACTTCTCTTTATCAAGTGCTTACTGAGAGCTTCCGTTGCTTGAATTGGAGCGTTGAATTATCGGACCATTACTTACACTTTCTATGTTGATCTATTGTTTTGGATTTAGTATTTTTGCAATTTTTGTGTTGTTTTTCTTAATATCGTAATGTCCTCCCAATGGTTTACCGCCTGGTATTGGTTTACTCTTAGCCTCATCGTGGTTAGGAGGTGTTCCTGGGCTGGCAGGTTCTTCCAAGCTGAGAAGGAGTTCGGCGTTTCCATCAGAAACCCTAGCTAAGAGTAAAGCAATACCAGGATCCATCACCGTCCCTGGTATCAAAGTCGCATGGTGGCAAATCTCCCTCTAATCCACAAGTGGTGCGACTAACTGTAGTGCTGAAGATCTGGGGCAGACTTTGGCCAGACTGACCTCCGGATTCTAGGGAATCACAATGGTTTAACCAGCAAATCTCCGAAAAATGGAGATTATGCTAGGGCCGACACAGCCAATGAGGACGGGCCGTTCAAGTACCAAGTAAGTATCAAATAATATCGTAATGTTGGATGCTGTTTTGGAATCTTAAAGGTGGGTTCTTCTATGACAAATTTCGGCGAAGAATTGGTGGGATAACTTGCCAAGCTTTACTATATGTGGTGAAGTGGATTTTATAAACATACGTGTTTAGCTGAAAGCCGAAAATCTCTGTTAAGCTCTACATGTTTTTCTCCATCAGAATATATGCTTTCAATTGAATACCATCTGTTGGAATTAGTTAAATACGTTTGTACACGTCCATGCTTATGTCAGTAGGATCACCTCTTTAGAGGTTTTGTAAGTTGTCCATTGCTGTTCACAGTTTTCTTCCTCTGAGCCCACCTTAAAACCGGGCGATATTTTGTTCGTCAAAAGTAGTTCGCTGGAATATAAGGACAGCGAGTATTTGGCTTAAGCTACGACGTTTAGCTTCGCTTGATGTTGTTTTTCGCTTTTTTCCTTGAAAGGATATTGTTCCAACTCTGTATGGATGATACTTGTGCTCATCGATGTGAATGAGGTATGAGTCCAGGTCTTGGTGGCTTCCAAAAATCTTACTCAGACTACTCTTTGTTCTGTCACTTTATCGATTTCAAATTTTCCCTGACTTAATCCATTCCCCACTGACTCAGCAAACAACAGCGATTTCACGAAAAACAGAACCTCGAATTTCTTCATAACGCGAGCGACGTTATTGAAGTTCTTGTTCAAACGATAGCGGTTTTTGGAAACATTTTTAGTTGCAGGTTAAATATGCTTCTGAATTGGATTTAAGGTAAGCACTGGAATGATAACAAAATGGAAGTAATGGCAATATCAATTCAGGATGAGCACGAGCAAACCATGTTGGTTCATGGCCATCTGTGGGCCACTTGGTTTGATGAGTATCTGGTGTGGGAACCAAACGATTATAATGGAACTTCAAAAATGAACATTGACCCGTGGAGGATCTGGCAACCAGCGCTCGCTCTATACAACAGGTAGAAGCTAGACTCATTCTGCTTATGTTGCAGCCCTTTACAGTATTTGCTGCGTCGTGGTTCTTCCAGAGCGCTCCTTAAGTCTTTTCAAACAATATTCTTCAATTCGACCGTCGTTTTATCCTGAGTAGTAACAATCAATGCCTTCTTGGATTGTTACAGTAACACATGGTTGACAAATAGATTTATTTGGCTAACGTTTCGGCATCGTTCCCTACCATGGTTGTGAAATTGGTACCAGATTATCATAGACGAGATCCTATCGTTCCATAAAGGCTGGTGGTTGCCGACTGTGGTGCAGAACCTCGGAATGATCTAGTGCGGCTATACCAGGGTTTCAGAGTGAATCGACTGGACCAGTAATCATTGAGTTTCGTAAAATGGCGACAATCCTTAAACAGCATCCGAACCCATGTTTAAGACCTACAAACTCTTAGTGAATAGTTGGTGCGGTGGAACGGATCGAATGCATGAAGTAATGCGATCCCGAAAATGTGTTTTCTCTGGTCATGCAAAAAACGAGGTATAATCGTTTTCTCGGTATCAATATTCTTTGTTGAGCATACGGTTAGTCACTGCGCAGAAGTTGATATGTTTCTATTTCTATTTTCTATTTCTTTCTATATCTCAGCTGCTTCTCCGTAGATCTTCGATTTTCAAAGTTGTACAAACGGTCGCACCTGGAAATGGAGCTGTGTTGCTTCGCTCGAGAGTAAGAAAACGAGCTTCGTTTCCTTATGCGCATTTCTGAGCTTGTTTTGTAGGCTTACATAGCGAAACAAATTTTTGTTGTTATAGAACGATTTCGGATGAAATTTGATTTCGAGAGCAAAATGATTTCCACATCGGGTCCCCAGCTATTTTATTAGAACCTACTTGGATTACTAAGCAAAAATGCTCCATCAGTACTTTTTATAAATTGTTTAAGTGTTTAAAATGATTATTTAGTTGGAAATATTCCTCTACAGTGTAATTTAGTGCGAGAGGCAACTCATGGCATCTACACATGCACGGACTACCAGCAATAGTCAGTAACACCGGCAGAGTTTGGGCCACCGGTTCGTTCTCTTTTCATGTCACATGCAGATTCGACTTCTCCGACTGGCCCTACGATGAACAGGTGAAAACCTAAGAGTACACTCATGTTTGTAATGGAAGTTTTATGATTTAAGACCTACTGTATAGACGAACCAGATCATTCTCTCTACTAAAAATAATCCGTAATGCTTAAACGCTTGAGTATTTGGATGGTCCATCTTCATTGGTCGTGAAAGCCCCAGCACAATTTTCCTTTGTTTCCTTCTCCCGCAGCCATCGTCCATGGTGGTGGTCTGCATCGAACATGGTGACGCGCGCGAGATTCGCTCTGTAGTCCTAAAATCGTTTCCATTTGTGAATACAGATGGTTGACGTTAGCCATGAACACGTCCACCCATCGTTTGGGTAGTCTTCCAAGAGGACGCTTAGATTCTCTTCGAGTCCACTTTCACTATTCTTTTCGTTCATCTGTCGTCTGCTCTCCTATTATTTGACAAACCCAAATGTGTTTCGCTATTGATGTATATTCTCCTGGGTCCATCCCGAAGCTGAAATAGGTTTCGAAGATCTGAGCTGCGCATTCACGCTAGACGTTGTGTGCCAGCTAAATTTTAGAAGACAGCGTTCAAGCATTCTTGCGTGATGTGCAGAATTTTTGACATGGTTAAACTTTCACCGCTCAACGTCGTAGAAAGTACCATGCAGGGTGTGAAGTACTGTGGTGAAGCTTTGCTGGTTTAGCCATTGTGGTTTTTTAGAATTCCGATGTAAGCCAACCCGAAGCCTTTCTGATGTCGTCATTACCACATTCAGTCGCTGGTCATTGTGGATCAGACGGAGGTTTGCTACCTTGCGACTAATTTGATGTCTTGACGGCTGTGATTCCTAGCATTGATTTACTATTAGCTGGGTTTCCAGATAGAAGCACCGCACTTCTTCCGAGTTTGGAAGACCTACTGTGGGAAGAAATCCTCGCTTTAGATCACAGTTCGGCACACAAGAACACCTTGCATCCACAATGAAGCACTAGTATTTCCGACTAGTAAAAGAAGTCCTGTCACTACGACAAAAAATTGTCTTAGCTAGACAAACGATATTCTTTCTCCGCCGCTGCCTGTAACATCGAGTCGTGCCGAGCTTCATCAAACGAAAACGACTATACAATGTATGCGGCCTACCAAGGAGCAGTAAACTAGTACTGAACATCGGAACGGGACTACTACGCGCCTCTCTTCGATGCAAACAGGACACCGTGTACGCGCATTTGAAGAAGTGAAAGTCGAAGGAATCTTATTGTGTTCAATATTTGGAGGATTTCTTTTGAAGAGAATAGTGGGCTCTGAAGAAGGTGAAACTGCCGCAACGACAGCTATTGTATCCTAATAAATTTTTTAGTAAGCCCAGCTAATAGTAAATCAATAGTAGGGATCACAGCCGTGAAGACATCAAATTAGTCGCAAGGTAGCAAACCTCCGTCTGGTCCACAGTGACCAGCGACTGAGTGTGGTAATGATGACATCAGAAAGGCTTCGGTTTGGCTGACATCGGAATTCTAAAAAACCACAATGGCTAAGCCAGCAAAGCTTCACCACAGTACTTCACACCCTGAATGGTACTTTCTACGACGTTGAGCGGTGAAAGTTTAACCATGTCAAAAATTCTGCACATCACGCAAGAATGCTTGAACGCTGTCTTCTAAAATTTAGCTGGCACACAACGTCTAGCGTGAATGCGCAGCTCAGATCTTCGAAACCTATTTCGACTTCGGGACGGACCCAGGAGAATACACATCAATAGCGAAACACATTTAGGCCGGTCAAATAGTAGGAGAGCAGACGACAGTTGAACGAAAAGAACAGTGAAAGTGGACTCCAAGAGAATCTAAGCGTCCTCTTGGAAGACCACCCAAACGATGGGTGGAGGTGTTCATGACTAACGTCAGCCATCTGCATTCGCAAATGGAAACGATTTTAGGACGACAGGGTGAGCCTCGCGCGCGTCACCGTGTTCAATGCAGACCACCACCATGGACGATGGCTACGGGAGAAGGAAACAAAGGCAAATTGTGCTGGGGCTTTCACGTGTATCCTTTCATCCATCTGTATGTCAGAAAGCTTTTGAACCTGGACCACATTTGGTCTCTGTTTATTTCCGTTGAAATTTTTAACGTTAGTATTCAGCATTGCAAGTGTTTTTTTTTCAAATTGTAATCTGCTGGTTTTATGTTAGGAATGCCCGATCGTTGTCGCAGACTGGGTGTACGACTTGTCCCGGGTGAATCTCTCTGATCCACAAGGAAATACACAGTGGAACAAGCCCACGATACGTCTCAACTATGATCCGATTCGGCAAGATGAGAAGAAACATGTGGCAGGTTAGGCTTTCATCGTTTTTCTGTCACACGTCTTTAAATTTGTTAGTAGTCGTCGTAAAATTCGACAAGCGAAAATCTTTCTTGGATTTACGCTAAAGTACTTGTCACAAATCATTGAACTCCTTAAATCTGCCTTCATTCCCTTTGAGATTTTGAAGTGCAATACGAACGTTTACCACACAATGTCCATCAAACTGTAACTAACCGCATGTCCATGATTATTCATGTTCTCAAAAGTGTTGAGTGGTTTGACATAATTTATCTTCTGATTCACTTATATGACCAAGGTTAGTTTTTTTCGGAAACAAAGAAGCCTCAAATAAACTCTTAGAGTTCACTGTGAAATTCTTCGTATTCGATCTAGGTCCACTTATGACGCGTTGTTTTTAGAGGCTCAAACGAGATTGGTGGCTCATTCTATGAACGGTCATTACAAAAGTTCACAGTGAATACGGCAGTAGCATTAAAAATGGATTCCTTACACTACGCGTTCAAAGTTTATAATAGCATGATGTCATTTTTAACAATACAGTTCTCGAAAAAAAATTACTATGTTGTGAGCAAAAGGAATTTCGATGGCCAGTATACAATAATGCTTTGTTCATTCCTGAATGTAGATCAAAATTGGAACAATGTGATGAAGATTGAAATGGTCATGATGGAAGTGTGACAAAGAACTTCGTGAAGCGTCCCACTTTCCAGGTGGGATATAGGAAGTTGAGTGAAGACCAAAAGCGTAACTTGCTTTGAAATGCAACAGACGGACTTCTTCTTTCTGCTGTTTCGGGTCGATAAAAGTTAAACTGAAGCTGTAGTTATGATTAACTGGGTTCATTGCCGACTTGGACTATCCAGGTCAATTCTGCTGACGAGTGATTGCTGATGGTACTGATCGGTAGAACTAGCTGAGAGACAGGCGAAACGCACGATATGGTGGTGAACGCGTTAGCCCCCAGAGAGGGTAATAGCGTGTTTGTTCCCAATCACAGGCACCTGCGGTCCGGAGCTTTGCAAATATCTCAGCATCGTGGAGTTATGTTTCGCAGCATACCCTCCCATTAAAAAGACTAGGCAGTAAATGTTTAAGTCGTAAATGAACAGCGTTAAATCATACCCATCTGATTAGTAATTTATTACTATGGTTATTTCTTACTAGTTTTATTAATTTTATCATTGTTCAACTCCAGATTTAATGATGTACTCTTACTACTACTTTTTTACTACTTTTTTATTGAGTACACTGGTTAAAATACATATTTGAATGCAGTGTAGGTCGTTAATGAATGAGTTTCGTGGTTGCGATTTGTTGCTGTTTATTAAATACTGTCACCCAAAGAGACGCCATGGTTCTTCCTAGAAGTCTTTCTGTTATGTGTCCCTATATGTCGGCGGCTAGATCACTTGCGCTGATTATTAGGCCTTCATCATATTGTTTTGCTCGACGCTTACCTTATCCTTTGATGTCTTTACTGTTTCCCCGGGACCGTTTTCATTCGAATAACTGGTAGGAATTGTGTCAATGTGTATTAAAGCAGCGCCAGAGCCTACAATCGTACCACCTTCACCACCACTCATGTGTTTAAAATTTCAGTACTACTTTATAGACAATTTTTTAGTAATTTCTGCTTTTTTAAACCCAGAACTTCCACTTTTAAGTACAATGTGGTTTTTCAGCGCTAACGAAATCGTATGCTGCCAGGGTTGCTTTCATTTTTAGATTCGAAAATGTCCACATACGGAACAGGCTGTATTGTTTAGAATGAATGTTGTGTATGGAATGAGACTCCAATATTTGAATAGAAATGATCTATGGTTTTTATACTTACTCTTGAACTGTAATTTTTAAACGACTGGATCCTTAACCATTTGCTAGAAGTAGGAGAAAATAAAATATTGGCTGCAGCAAATTAGTGTGCGACATTTTACGGTAATGAAGGTGTTTCTAGTGAGTATCAACTAAGAGACCTTTCGTTTTTGAAAGCGCGGAAGTGAAATGAAGTGGCCAATGAAGCCATCCGTTATTCAAGCGCTCTCAAGTTTCTCAGTATTGGCTGAGGCGCTGTATTTGTCTAATCTACTAGATTTTTCTCCGTGTTCCCACCTACTCATTGAGTTACAACTTGGCCTGATAGTGTCCATAGTCGACTTTTTCCGGAACTGTTCTGTTCAGTTTTTTTTTAAAGAAGAATTTATACTCTTTTGTAGAACAAGACACCATAAACGCTCTTTAGGATGGGAAGTGAAGGACACCTGGAGACGTCACTGTTATTGGGGCCCGAGTGGTTGTAAAGATGAGCTGCCGGAAGGACAGGTATTATTTAGATCTTTCGTTCAATGAATATTGCTTGGACCTTCGTTCGTCAAAGACTCTTTCACATCTCGTACAACAGATATTATTTAAAATGTAAACAAGAAAATCTCTTAAATGTGAAGCACGGCCAAAATGATGTTGAGGTATGAGCAAAACCCAGTCTCGGAGTCCCGAGTTTTGTTCATATCTCAGCATCGTTGTGTTTCTATTTCACATAGTACCTATCTATGGAAGAAAAAATAATAGGTAATGAATAAAAAGTTAAACCTTGTCAATGTTCCCAGGATCGACTTTCTCTTAACCTCGGCATTGGAATATGAATGTGTCGTTTTCCTGTTCTGCAATCGCGAGGTTTTTAAACAGCATACATTTACTTCCATAAAAACACAATACAATACAACTCTAGCTGACGTTTCGGCAGTATCGCCTTTTTCAGAGCCTGGAAGGGTATGCTGATATACAATCTACTAGGCCAAGTATTGACAGTAAAGTTAATATACAATAGTGACAATGTACATTCAGAGTTAACACCTTGGATTAACTACATGGCGTACCGCACATGATGAACAGGGGCCCTAACGAGACGAATACGATGGTGACTCACGGTGCTATTTAAATGTCTTTTGGAGGAGGCGGTGTTTTAGCACAGCTCCAGAACTTTTACCGAAAACATCCGTGGACTTCCCCATCGAACTACCTCGCGATCAGATCAGATGACTGAGGACGATTTCCAAACAACTTCGTGTCCTTGTGTTATCGTGCGCGTGACAGCTTACAACAGAAACAACATACAAAAAGTTCCGATTGCATAAAAAGGGTTGAATAAGAAAGCCTGTTTGTGACAAGCAAAGTTTCTCAGAATGAAGTGAAAGTATTTGCATGCTGCAAGATTGCAAAGCGATATGAGGGACAACGAATGTGGTTACTACAGAAACCTACCATAAGATGAAAGAATAGTAACTATTCTGGCAATAGTTGAATATTCACGCGTTTGTTTATGGCTTAAATGGAAAACCATAATGAAAGCTCGTCTCTACCTATGATCTTCCTTGAAAATGCTGACCTTTTATTCTTCAATTTAATTTTGCCCTAAATCTTACAATTTGATGGTTCTATTTTCTAAACACTATTATGACTATTCTATATTTGCACTGAAATCTTTTACAATACAGATTCGGTTTTAATATATTATTTACTGTGGTGTGGTGTGGTGGTGAAGCGCGCTGCTCCCCGGTAAGGACAACAGCGCGTGTTCGTTTCCCACCGCATACACCTGCGGTCCGGAGTTTTGCAAATATCTCAGCATTATATAGGAGTTATATTTGGCAACATACCCTGCCATTAAGAAGAAAAAGGCAGTAAATAAAAGGGTTACGATTATTTACTGTGTTCGAGAATACGAGTTCAATAATTAAACTGATCTTATCTTTATAGCCAGAATGGTACTGGTCGTTGCTGGAGTTTGGAGTGAAGCTAAAGCGTCATACGCCATATTTCGGTGTCACCGTTATTATGCCAACGGTGAGAGCATATAGCCCATTACAACATGACGATGGTACCGTAGTGATTGTTGGAAGTGCAAAAGGAGTATAGAAGACTGGAGATTGTCCTCTAGTGGTCTTACCTACCAACAAGCTCACGTTCCGCATCTTCTTATTCGTTTTACATTGAAGTTCAATGAAATACGGCAAGAAGTTCTTTAAGCGTTTTATTCTGAACCGTAGCGATTTAAGTTCACAACAGATTATTCGTGCAGAATGCTTCACGTGTGTTACAAAGAAAAGTGAAGTGAAAAGGAACACATTGTTTGTTATTTCTATATTTTATGAAAGTAGACACTGAAATAGCAGTATCTTTTTATTTCACCTAAAAATACAAGAAAACTGTGACAGCTCAAAAAGTATCATATGCAAAGTAGACTCGCTTTTCGAAAGGTGCTAGTTCAACAATTTGCTAAAGTACTGAGCGATTGAACATATTACACATGTATTTCCTTGCTAGCTTTTTAGTTTTAGAAGCAAATGTAAAACGCTAAAGGATAAAGCTTTCGGGGTTGATCAATCCCTGAGGGACGCGCCATGCATTCTACTTCATTAAGCATGCTATGGAGGTGATTGAGTGAATATTAGGCATTTACAATGACTCGCGGTGGGATACGGATGTATCGAGCCAGTGCTGCTATCCTCCTAGACAAGTCAGGTACTAACTTGCCGACCTCGGAGGAATGGAAGCCTGGGTGGGCCATGGACTCGATGGTCGATTCCACGTGTGTGTTGCAAGACGCCTCCGACCACTGCGCCACACGCGTATCTGTTACCAATTTCTGGTATAGAAGCGATTATAAGTCGGAATATACAATATTATTCTCGTTTTCAATGAGGAATACATACTGTTATTCTCAATCTATGCTAAGTTTCTTCGAACAGAAGTACTCAGAGCAATCATGGGCCGTTACACTTTTTTGCAGATCATCACCTGTTTGCTGACGCTGTTCTCTTTCTGGATCGACGCGCCATCGATGTCCATTGCTCTCGTAATATTCAACGTCCTCTTACAAGGTCTATTCGGTTGGGATCTGATTCGAGAACTGCCCCCGGGTAGCGGAAGTATACCAAAGATCGGTAAGCACGAATAATCAGTCAGCTGGAAGTCTTATCATTTAAATACGTACTGTACTCGTTAGAGGAAAAAATTTTTTTTCTGTTCCACATAGAGCGAAAATAGTGAGATAAGCCACTTTTCTCAAAGGTTGTCTGTGTGGAGAACTCGCTTTACAAAAACGTGTCCATACCGGTTCTTAAGTGGAGACGATAAATGCACATATTTTACACTTTTCTGTCTACAACATAAAAAACTCACAAAACTACCTTGTATTTGACAAGACCACAGTGTTTTCATAGTAAATATAACTGAAGTTGATATTGCAGTAACCTTGTATGGTTTCAACCTTTCGATGGCGACAATAGCCTTCATGATCAACGTTTTAACCCAGTTCTTTGAGTTAGTTTTGCCTACCGACTTCGAATTACCTCAGGTGGTAAGTGTTCTTGTTTCGAGTGTTTATCCTACGATCTTTTGTGGAGACGGCAAAAGTGGAGTGTTGTTCTAAAAAACACGATTCAATAAGCTGAATATGAAGGGTTTGTAAGTCTTGACGAGAAGCATATGTGGTTTGGCGAGTAAAGTTTGTCGCACACCAGCGGTAACTGGTTTACCACCGTTCTGAGTCTCCGCGTTTTCCTTCGCATGCTTCCGAAGTTATCCGAGGATTCCCGGGAAAAGAGAAGAATCTCGATTGGCACTCAACTACGTTCATGAAGAAAAAATCCACGCGTTCCCGCTCATCAATGCGCAAATCTGAAGACCTTTGTGGATGACCTATGCGAGACAACGAAATGAGTGAAAGAATTGCTTGTATCTATATAATTTATGTGGAAGCGGGTTACAGAAAGAAATAGAAGTGGACAAGCAGCTGAATGCTTAGTGGCAAGTTGATTATAAATCTGAACGACCATCTCAGTATAGAACTTATTATAAAAGCACGATTTCGACAATTTCCTTTGAAATGGAGCTACAGTATTCACTTATGGTGCTTTATATCAAAAGGAAAACCACGATTTCTAGAGCAGTGCGCCTTCAGTAGTGAAGAGTGTTAGCATAAAACAACATCCTTTTTAATTGATTCTCAAAGCCTATACTGTTCTAGAAATGTTCACTCCCCATAAGTCTTTCCTAATTCATAGAATCATGTACAGACTTTGCTGAGATATTTGCAAAACTCTGGATCGCAGGTGTCTATGGTGGGGAACGAACGCGCTATTGTCCTTTCCGGGGAGTAACGCGTTCACCACCACACCATGCGGGTCCTTTGTTTCGCACGTCTCTCAGCTATTTCTATCGATCTTTTTGCCACAGCAATCACCCGT